ATAGCTTCAAATAGATCCTGACAATTTCAGCAAAATATGGAGTTCATTGAAGTCATATTTTAGAATTTTGCTTGCTATTTCTTTCTCTTTAATCGTATCATAAAATAATCATAAAAATTGCGCTGTTTTCAACAATTAATATCTATTGACAAAAAGTTTGCATAAAAAAATGAATAAATATAAACTGTTGTAGTAAAAAGTAATGACATTTGTGATCGCACATTAAAACATTTTTATTTTTAGATTTTTATTGAGGACAACTCTTGTTACTCGTGTGTGTGTTTACAAATTTAGATGGTGATCGTAGTCGTAAAATTATTTCAGACAATATCGCAATCTTCCAGCAATAAAAATAACCGAAGAGACGTAAAAATTGCGAGTATTAAAATCTCTCGATGGAATCGGAAGTTCTAGCCGCAGCCCTTCGCCAAGTGGCTACGAATCGTCGAATAAATATCGCGTATGTGTATGTTATAATTCGAAATGAGCAATGTTGTATAGGGGATTTATTATATGTAACATATATATGCCGATCAACATCAATGAAGTGCGATAATACGCGCAAGCGTGTAATTATTTATAGCGCTCTCAATATTCCATATGCCGTAAATATTAAATGCTGTATATACCGTGCCCAGCAATACGCCTGAATACGTAAATAGATGTATTAATTGTTGCTGATGGCGCGGCGCATAGCCTGCATCACGCCATACCGATACGGGGAGAGCGGCATTTATATAATTGAAACTCTTGCGTGTATAGCTGGTACATATCGATCGCGGCCTCCGAGGGTCACTGAACGAAACGAAACGAGAGAACGAAGCGGGCACGGTGCGCGAACACGGCAACGTCCTTCTGCGCCGATAAATAATTATAAGCAGGAATTTTAGCGTAAAAATCCTCGATGCCGGATGCATCGATTGTAACATATCGTTACATAAAGAAGAGTTAATCACATAGCGTTTTTGAATGCACATGGGTTTAGAGTGCAAAATTTCATGCTTTCAGCAAAAATATATGTGTGTGCGATGCTCTCCTCATTTGTTTTTTTTTTCTTTTGATTTTGTACTTTTGTACTTTTATTTATTATATCGTCTGATTTAATGTTTAACTTTCATTTCGATTAACTCGATTTTATTATATCTGTATGATAATAATATAATTTAAAAGGAAAAGGATGGATTAATCTCGAGTTAATTAAATGATATGCTATTGGATAGGTCAATATGAGCTCTTTGAGCGAAAAATTAATTGATTTGGTAAACAATGCTATATTTGAAGATACATATTGAAGTTTAATATTAAATTTATATACTTTACATATATATGTGTTACATATATATGTGTTACATATATATGTGTATACATATATTATTATTACTTATTTTCTTACTTATTACGTATTTTGTTTGCTTCCGATAATGCATTTCTCAAAATTGATATTGATTAAGGTTTCTCCCTTGCGATATTAAGTTTTATTTTTTTTGAACGTAAGATTATTAATAACGATTTGTTTCTTGAGAATTCCTTTACATATATAAATCTTTAAAAATGTAATGTCATTAATATATTCTTTAAAATATTAATTTTTATTTTATATATGAAATTTAGTTTTTTTTAACGCAAAGCTGAACTGTTTGATTATCATCAGACAGTTGATATTTCTTAAAATTAATTTTTATTATAATTATGAGATTTCTGAATGTGAAAATATTCTTCAATTAATTTGCGACTTCAACAAAATTTTTGCACGATTCACTTGGTATACGCTTCAAGAGGACCAGAAGTTCGAGCTTGAATTTTTCAAAGTATTCCGTGGAGTCCCATTGAGAGAACGCAGTGGCAGCATGAAACCCGGTTTCCCTTCGTAGGGCTGCCGCCCTTCAAGGCTCACGGCCGACCGACTCTTTGTCGTCCCTTTGACGTCCCTGCAGGATGTACGAAGCACTAAAGCGAAGCGCAGGGCCGTATTGGATGGGGAAACATACAATGTGTTCCTAAGAATTTTGAAATAATACCAGATATAAATTATAGTTAGAATTTATGAAACGCACAAAACGAGACGAGCTGAAACTAAACTGTGCCTAAAAGCAATAATACAAAAGTTGATATAAAAGCAAATATTTATATAATGGAAAATACAGTGAATAACGAGAAAAATAATTTTTTGTTGAAATATGTAGATATTTCTTTTGTAAAAATGAAGATTCATTTTTACAAAAGAAATTATATTATTATATTAATAAAATTTACCATATATAAAAGATTAAGAATTAAGCCAAGAAGACAAATAATTTCACAGAGAAAATTAAATCTTTTGTAGAAAATAAAAATTACATAGATCTCTTTTAAAAATTTCTTTATCTATTTTGTAGATAATTTTGTTTGAACATAGTTGAAAACCTTTTGATATTCACAAATAACATCTCGCTTTCGAGGCTTTCAAAAGATTTCTTTTTGTAACATTTTTATATAACTTTCAGTTGATTTTTGACAACGACTGAATGCATGACAGAAGGCATCATTTTCTTTGACCATCGTGCCAAGGTACAACTTGAAAGATTTCAGTGTGATGAAGAAGTTTTTGGAAAGCCGGATTGCTCGCATGAAATCGCCGGGTTAAGAGCCCCGGACGTGCCGGAGAACGTCCGTTACTGAGCCGCAGGGCAGCTGTTCGTAGCAGGACGATTTTCAAAGGGCGACTTCTAATGAGCTCTCGCTACCCCGACAGAGGGTCCGGGAATACTGCTGGGAGATTATGTTTCCGTGCTTCGTCCCTACTCCGTCCCTAGCTCTCTATCCTCGCTTCGTTTCTACCTCTGGAGATTTCCCGAGTAGCCAGGTAAGAGAGTCTCGCCTCTCGACACCGAGGCTATCAGATTTTTGCCTCGCGCTGCAACAGAAATCTGATAAAGTAAATCCGATATCTTTCATTGGCAAAGAAAATGTTAGTCGCTTATATAAAATCGCAGCGAGTGCTCTCTTTTTTTTCTTATGAATCGAACTTATTGCTTGCTCTGCGTTACCGCATTAGGCTTTTAAATAAACGGTAGTTTGAAATCGAGTAAATAATTTGGAAATGTTCGCACGATGACACCACAGCGCTGGACGTCATTCTATGGCTCGTTTTTTCTCCTTTACAGCGATGTAAATAAAAAACCTAAGCCGATAGTCTCGCAGCCGCTAGGTCTGTTCCCTCTCGCTTCTCGGATACCCGGCACATCCCACATCGGAGTGACGCGTGGGAAAAGTAACCCCGGTTTAATGTTACAATATGAATGATTCCTTCACTTTCCATGGAGGCAGTTCTATAGAACCGATATGCATTTCCTTCTCTAGTAAGTAATTTAAATACATGCCGGTAGATACAGGTCTCGGCCTATACAATCCGCCGATTGATCCGTACGAATTCTATTCAGTAAAATCTTTCATTTTCCTTTCCAGCGGATTTAAATGACGCGAAAACACGACAAGTCCTGGCAGCACGCGCTCTCGCTGGCATACAGCGTTATATGGTAAATGCCATGATAACACCACCGTCGCGTGGGTCACATGCACACGTCGTCGTCGAACGTTACGTCACCGCGTCTTCACCAACACGGCCGTCCACACAATCGC